CTGAACCCGGGAGGTGGAGGTTGCGGTGAGCCGAGATCGTGCCATTGCACTCCAGCCTGGGTAACAAGAGCGAAACTCCGTCTCAAAAAAAAAAAGAAATTTGCTTATATCATATCCATTCAAGTGCTACTCACCGGAACCTAGTCCTGTGGCCTCATTCACTGAGGGGGAGCTAGGCAATGTAATCTTTGGTTGGGAGGCCATTTATCCAGCCAGAGCGCAAGGGTTCTATTGTAGAGGAGGAAAGCAAGAAGGGACATGAGCAGTTAATTGGCAGTCTCCTTCATAGAAGGGTGTCTTCATTACTCGTTTCTGCACAGCAGGCTACCCTGAAGCTTTGTTTTTTTTTTAACCACCTTGTATTATCTCTCACTGTTCTGTGAGATCCTGCCCCACCACACACACACACTCTGTTTTGAATATACTTTATTTTTAAAAAGTAGTTTTAAAGCCGGGCATGGTGGTATACTCCTGTAGTCCCAGCTATTTGGGAGACTAAGGCAGAAGGATCACTTGAGCTTAAAAGCTTAAGACCAGCCTGGGCAATACAGCAAGACCATGTTTCAAAAGATAGCAACAATAACAAAAGCAATTTTTGGTTTACAGAAAAATTGAGCAGAAAGTACAGAAAGCTCCCATATACCCCATGCTCCTATACATACATAGCCTCACCAACTATCAGCGTCCAGCACTGGAGGGGTGCATTTGTTACAACTGATGAACCTACACTGACACATTGTTATTGCCCAAAGTGAACAATAGGGTTCACTCTTGGTGTGGTGTGTATTCCTAGTGTAATGCTACATATTCACCATTATAGTACGCAGATCTGTTTCACTGCCCTAAAACACTTTGTGCTTCACCTACTTACCCTTCCCTGCCCACCAACCCCGGTAACTCCTAATCTTTTTACTGTCGCCAGTTTTTTACCTTTTCTAGAATGTCATATGTTTGACTTTTCTTGGAGTCATACAAGATACAACCTATTCAGATTGGCTTTTTTCACTTAGAAATAAGCATTTGAGGCTCCTCAATGTCTTTTTCTGGCTTGATAGCTTCTGTCTTTTTACTACTAAGTAATATTTTGTGCTCTAGAAAAACCAGTTTATTAATTCACTCACCTGCTGAAGGACATGTTGGTTGCTTCCAAGTTTTGGCAGTTACAAATAAAGCTGCTATAAAAATCATGCATATGTTTTTGAATGCACGTAAGTTTTTACCTCCTTTGGATAAATACCAAGGAGTGCAATTGCTGGATCATATAGTAAGAATATGTTTATTTTTGTAAGAAACTGCCAAACTGTCTTCCAAAGTGGCTGTGCCATTTTGCATTTCTATCGGCAATGAATGGGAGTTCCTGTTCTCTACATCTTGCCAGCAACTGGTACAGTCACAGTTCTTGATGTTGTCCATTCTAACAGGTATGTAGTAGTACCTCATTGTTTTTCTATAATGAAACACACCTGCATTTTCTTAGGGACATATGGTATGGAGCATCTTTTTATATGGCTATTTGCCGTCTGTGTATCTTTGGTTAGGTGTCTGTTTGGTTCTTTTGCCCATTTTTAAATTGGGTTGGCGCATCTTTTGCAAATATTTTCTCCTACTGTATGGCTTGTCTTCTCATTCTCTTGACAGTGTTTTTAGAAAAATAGAAATTTTAAAATTTTAATCAAGTCTAGCTTATCAATTATTTCTTTTAAGGATTGCGCCTTCGGTCTTGTTATCTAAAAAGTCATCACCATAACCAACATCATCTAGAGCTTCTCCTATGTTATCATCCGGAAGATTGTAGTTTTACATTTTATATTTAGGCCTATGATTCATTTTAAGTTAATTTTTGTAAAAGATGTAAGGTCTGTGTTTAGATTCATTTTTTGCAGGTAGATGTCCAGTTGTTCCAGCGCCATTTGTTGAAAAGATTCTCTTTTCTCACTGTTTTGCCTTTGTTCCTTTGTCAAAATTCAGTTGGCTATATTTATGTGGGTTTATTTCTGGGCTCCCTATTACGTTCTGTTGCTCTTTTTGTCTATTCTTACACCAATACCATAATATCTTGATTACTGTAGCTTTACAGTAAGTCTTAAAGTTGGATAGTGTCAGTCTTCTGACTTTGTTATTTGTGTTGTCTATTCTGGCTTTTTTGCCTGTCTGTATAAATTTTAGAGTCAGTTTGTTGATATCCACAAAATAACTTTAGCCATAAAATAAAGATGTTTAGGCCGGGTGTGGTGGCACACACCTGTAATCCCAGCACTTTGGGAGGCTGAGGTGGACCGATCATGAGGTCAGGAGTTCAAGACCAGCCTGACCAACATGGTAAAACTCCGTCTCTACTAAAAATACGAAAATTAACCAGGCATGGTGGTGTATGCCTGTAGTCCCAGCTACTTGGGAGACTGAGGCAAGAGAATTGCTTGAATCTGGAAGGCAGAGGTTGCAGTGAGCTAAGATCACGCCACTGCACTCCAGCCTAGGTGACAGAGCAAGACTCTGTCTCAAAAAAAAAAAAAAAAATGTTTATAGCAGTTTTATTCATAATTGCTTAAAATTGGAAGCAGCCAAGGTGTCATTAATCAGGCAAATGGATTAATAAACTGGTACATTTAGACAATGGAATTTGCCGGGATTTTCACGGGAGTTGCATTGAATCTATAGATCAAGTTCAAGTTGGGAA